TTACACTTGGCTGCTGGTGTCTACTCCAGAAGTGACTGCATTTCTTTGGTGGAGAAGGATGGAGGCATGGAATATATAACTAATACCATGTATACTAAATATCTATAATTGTGTGGGAATCCTCGGATAGGTGTCGCTTACAATCAAGGAGGATTTATTTGAAACAGATGTTTCTAACATACCAAGGCTGCTTGTGCTACTTGTAGTACCTGTGCCAGAGATTGGCCACCCCTGTCTAAAGAATCTATTGCTAGCCACTGTCATTAATACACATGAACCACATGGCCCATTGATATAAATTTGTAAAGAAATCTCTGGTACAGGGAAGCACTTGAAAATCAAAATCCATTCTTCAAGGAAACATAGATATATGACTAGATTATTGGTTGCAAGACAATAATGCATTTAACCTTTGATTTTCATATAAGAAATTGTGGTGTGTCTTAAGTTTTGCAATGTTGCCAATCACTTAAGCAAAGGAGAGTTATGAATTTGATTGTGGTAGTTTTGTCTTAGGCTGCTGACAGACATACATTTAAAAGTACAATTGGATCTGACCGCCAATCCCAACAATCACACCTGCTGCAATGCCATATGTGCATGGCAGAATGCACAATTTTGGGATCGGGGATCAGATCCCAGTTGCATCCTGTTTGCTAGTGCTGAGGGAGCCTGGGATTGTGAGTTGAAAGCAATGTGATCCCTGGAGCCTGCAGCTGATGGTAGGCAGGATCAGGACTGCACCAGGGCTCAAGCCAGCCCTTGTGGTTCAGGGGCCAGGACTGATTGTCATCAGGATGAAGCCGGGACTTGAACTGGTGTGTCCCTACCAGCCATTGATCAGCTGATCATTGACGGGATTGGAACTGCATGAGGGCTCAAACCTTACTGCAGTCCCTGCCAACTGATGATAAACTGATTGTTGGTTGGATCAGGAGCCCGCTAGGCAGGCCTCAGGTGGTCACTGCTAGCCGGTGATCAGTTTCTTGTTAGTTCATCAAGACTGTACTGGGTCTGCTTGGAGACAGACTCTGGTATAGTCAGCTCTGCCGCACATTCAATTTAAGACATCATGGAAGCCAGCCACAAAATTATTACGCATCCTTTTTTGGGTTGTAATTTGTGGCTTATTTCCTGGCTTTTTCCGGAATGTGTGGCTGGGTTATACTGTAAGATGTGATTAACTGGTTAATTTAATCTTAAATGTAACATCTGCCAGGTCCTTGGTTTCATGCATTCTTCACCAGTTATCATGAGCTAGTAGATGGGGAATACCAAAAATATAGCTTGGTTATCTTAAATCTGCTAAAAGTAAGCCATCTGTTAATAAATTCTTGGGTAAACCCTGATTTTACCTTTCATTGCCAAGTATTTAAACTAAACTAGCTAGTGTTTTAGGCAAGTTCAGGTTCTTAGTTAATGCTCATTTCAGTAGCTCAAATATTGGTGCCTCCTGGGCATTTCATATGAAAGAGGCAAGATTAATTTTGTTCAATAAGTCTATTAAAAGAGTCACTTGGGAGTTGTAGGTGGGAATATGTTTTGAATTGGTTGCTGTGCAACAGAACATGCATTGTATGGATATATGCCAGTGCATTATTTGATCAACAAAATGAAGTGTTTGGAAGTTAAATAAGCATAGATTGTAACTATTCTGGATCAAGAATTTAATCTTTGTGTTCCTTTACATTTCTTGCCTAATAGCTTTGTTTCCTATGGAAGGGGGAATGGTAGGTCCAGAGATCCTAGTTAGGTTACCTTTGTTCCTGTAATGGAGAATGGAGGAGGCATTATGTTAAGCACCACTGGAAGGCAGTAATACAGGGAGAGAGGTAGCCTGTTCTCTTCACGCTGTTGGAACGGGCATGTGTTCAGAACGCCTTCAGAATGTGCAGACCTCTAATCCTTTACAGAAAGTGCTCTATTGTCTTGTGCAATATTTTCACGGAGTCTATATTGTTAGTTTAAGCTCCCATCAAGTTTCTTTATACTATCACCTGATCAAGTACACTCAAAATTCAGATCAGTAGATTAAAGCACAGGTGTAGTGAAGGCAGTTGAGCCAGGATGCATTTCACTTTCCTTTTCTTGCTTTCTTCTGAAACAGTGAAAGATACCACAAAAAAAGATTTGAAAAATGGTTATAAGAAACTCCAAAATATTTCCACCTGAATATCTCACCCTGACTGTTGTTCATAACTGAACAAGTCTCAGCAAGAGTAAAACAGCTTTTTCCTGATCAAAAAGAATGAGAGATGACTAAGTATTTTAAAAACATCCTTACCCTGCCATTATAGTATGGTATGAATATGATAAAGTATTACATATGCTTGAAATACGTAAGCACCTAGGTTTGTAAAGTCCAGTTTTTTTGCTGTCTTAAGCATTACAGGCACTCCTCACTTAACGACCGAGTTCCATTCCTACGACTCGGTCATTAAGCGAATTGGTCGATAAGCAAGGAGCCGCCCCTTACTGACCGCAGTCGGCCCCCAGGGAAACAGCCGGGGACGGGAAGGCGCTGGCCATGGCGGTGAGTCCTGGCCGCTGTCCTCCGGGTGGATGCTTCTCCCCCCCCCTGGGTTCGCGGAGCCGGCTGGAGGGTTCCGGGCTCAGCTCCACGTCCCCCTCAGCTTGACGCTGAGACGCCGTGCTGCTGAGATGCCGCGCTGCCGACCAGCTCTACGACTCTACAGAGAGCTGGTCGTAAGTCCGCGCGGTCGTTAAACAGGTAGGTTGTTAAGTGAGGAGTACCTGTATGTGATATAATCCTTCTTGTTAAATGATGTAAGCTTCTCTTTAAAACCAGTCAGTTATTTTTGCCCTCAGTACTTTTTGGAAGGTTGTTCCAAAATCTCTCTTGTCATGGTCAGAAAACTTTTCATTGCTGCTTTGTTCTTTAGCCAAAATTAATCTCTAGCCTAACCAGTTTTTCTCTCTTCCTTATGTTTGCCCATCTCCTCCCAGCCTTTGTATTGCCTTAATCTTCTCTTATTTCTTTGGTTATCATAGTAGCCCTTCCCTGAACCTCTTCCAGAACATTCTTATCTGGGCCTTGTACAGTGACACTAATTAATATTACAGCAAAAGCTCTGTTATCCGGCACCCTTGGGGAATGTGGGGTGCTGGATGACCAAATGTGCTGGATGACCAAATATGCTGGTTACCTGAGAGGCGTCTTTGCCTGGTCAGGCCTCTACCCCTCCCGCCACGTCTGGTGTGCCAGGCTTTCACTCCCTGGCATCAGTGTGCCAGGGGACAGGGAGGGGGGCCCCATGCAGGCTGCTTTGCTCCAGGCTGTGGCCTGGAGTCGGCAAAGTGGACTTGGCAAAACCGGAAATGGAACTTCTGGTTTCGCTTTTGCCCCATCAACCAGCATGCCAGTTAATAAAGTGCCGGATAACATGGCTTTTACTGTACATCTATTTGTAATACCTCTCCCAGTGCATCCTAATGTTTTTCTTGGTCTCATCACCTTGGTGGCTTATAGTTACTCTGTGATCAACCAGTACAACCAAGTGCTTTTCCCCCTCACTCAAGCCCCAAGAGCATCATCATAATGTTCTTTCTTTATGATCTCCTGATCCTCCACTGAATCGACAGTGTCTCCAATCTTCATGATTTCAGCAAACTTCATCAGGCCATGCCTATTTTTTGGCCAGCATTGTTGATAAAAAAAAAAAAAAGAAAAAATAAGATTGATCCAAAGACTGAGTATAGTAATATTTTTAAATATTATATGTGCTGTAATATATGTAAGTACATAAGATTGTACCAGTAAGTAGCCTCATTCCAACCTGCTACTTCCCTTTTCAGCAGTGTTGCTTTAAGTCATCTCCCTATGCATCTTGACAGTGTTTTGATCTACCTTCCATTTTACTTCTTTTTGGTATATGTGACATCACAAGGTGTAGAACTAGCCTCTCTCTCTCTCTCTCTCTCTCTCTCTCTCTTTTTTTCTTTCTCTCTCTCTCTCTCTCTCTCTCTCTGAAAGACTGCTCCCATCTCAAAGTCAAAAAAGCAAACAGGAATTATTAAAACAAGTTACATACTAAATTAGATATTAAATGCTATGCCAGACAGAATTTCATTGCCATGAGTAATATTCTGTTATGGAGAAATGGCAAGGTGACTTATTTTACTCTTGCAGAATGCTTGCACAGTGGGCAGTTGGGGCTTGTAGACTCGGCTAGTAAAATAAGCTAGAAAATGGTATGTCAGTGTAGCCAGTATCAGAGGAATTCAAGCTTTGGAGACACCTGCCCACTGCAATAGATCCTCTTCTACCTTTTAATCACTCTAGTCCTACTTCTAGAGGTATTGAGGGGCTTGGCTTTGTCTCATGATCTCCTTCAAGCTAAGAGAACAGAATGTTTCCTTTCTGTTTTCAGATAAACTTCCTACCTTCCTTTGTACTAAAACAAACTCACCTATAGGACAGCAGGGTGATTCATCATATTCAGTGGAAAATTTTTGGTGTTGACTTTTTTAAATTGCAACTAGTCAACAACTCATTCAAGGATTGGTATTTCTAAGAATTTATGCAACTAGTTTTTCCCATATACTGCTATAAAGCTAAAATGCAGGCAAATAATATAATTACTATGCTGTTTCTTTGCTGACAGTGTTGTTCCTGTGCGAGTATTGCTTTGGTAGTCCCACATTGCTTTAATCTGTTTCTTTTAAATGTTAAGAAATTAATATTTGAATGTGGCTTTTTCCTTTCTGCCAAATAATTGGAGCAGATGTTTAAACTGCATGTAAAGTGGGAAGCCCATGGTTTGGAATTATCTGTAGTTTCAAGGGTACATTAAAGATTTAGCATCTTTGTTATACTACCTGCTCTGTGCTATGAAGTAAGCCATGTTTTCTGCAACTTCCTGTGTGAAGTTCTGTAACACAGTGGATACAAACTAAATATTCATTGAAGTGTAGTGAACACAAAGAGGCTTTGTGTTGACTTTTTTTTAATTGATATAAACTTTTTCTTTTCTCTAAAGGTCAGTCCTATGAAATACGGATGCTAGATAATCGGAAAGCTGGAGACATGCCAGAGATCACTGGAAAGCTGGTGAAGGTGAAGTAAAGTTGTTGTTCTAGATAACATAACAGGGATTGCAGCTGGCTGCATAGTTTGTCCAGTGGTTTTCATATTGTAACTCAATGTTACAGCAGGACAAAAAAATTGGAAACTTTTCTGTCCCTCAGTTTAACCATGAAGAAAGGAGAAGTTGCAGCCCAGGTTTAAGCTTGTTGAGAGGCAGGGAGTGCTAATGGATAATCAGGGTTTTCTTTCCAGTTAACATGGCTGTCTCAAATCAATTGACTTGACCAAAAAGAATAAAACAAGTTGATTAAGGTTTTCAATTTTGTTTTAACTTGTATCTGACATAAAAGTGTTGTAACACTTGTATGTCCTCAGGTTGTGACCATTAACTTTGCAGTTATTTACCATTGTCACTAGGGATTCATGTCTAGAATTGATTTTGTCAAGATGATAATTTTAAAAAGTGATGCAGTTGATCATTTAATCGGCCTTAATCAGCATGGTAGGATTTTGCCTTTGACTGACCTACCCTGCTGCCATTAGGGAAGAATATTCTGCATAGGTATCAGGGGCTCCCCAGAAAGCCACAGTTATGGGGAGCCATTCAGTGCTTCCCAACTTCTCTTGCAAGTTAATATCTCTTTAGAGAAAAGACTGCTTTTTTGTTGTTGTTCTGTAATTGTGGCTGAATGTTCTTTGCTTTAAAATATGAATAGTAATACTTGTCTTTTAAAATAAGCTTGAAAATTATGGAAAACCCTGAGCTTAGTTGAAAACTTGCTTTCCAGCATAAGCCAAAATGACTCCCCTTTTTCTGCAGGAAGACTATTTTGGTGGACAGTTTCTGTTTCCTGAAATGTTTGTTTGTTTTTATTTGAAGTGATCAAAATAGGGCTTGATTTGATGGAGAACTACATAATCCTGGGATTACTTTTACTGTTCTTCAGGCAAGCGGTGGACTGCTTTGCAGTTTACAAAATGCTCACATATTCAAGCATAAAGTAAAGCGCTGGCAAGCAGTATAGTTAGCAGAACGCAGCAGACATCTCCCTTTTCTAAAGCCCTGGTTAGTGTAGCAGTACACCAGAGTCCTTCTAAGTTCCCTAGAACTTTCCCTTTTTCCACACAGCTTGTGGCGGTAGCTGAGCTGTACGACCTGTTTTGTGACACTAGGGATTAGTCTCACGCAAGCTTCCTGATTCTTCTGATGGCTTTCCTGAATCTCTTTAAGGTGCATACTCTTCTTGTTTCCCCAGCTGGGTTTCTGCTCTCAATTCCAGATTTCCTTCTCTAGAATCTTAGACATTGCTAGACTTATGTACACCACATCAGCATAAGGGTAAAGATATGCTGATTTGAGAAGCATCAGTTTAACCCAGGGGTTATCAGCTAGGGGTACTAGAGAAGGCCCTAGGGGGTATGCACAGGCAGGCAAGTGGGCACAGAGCGCTGCCACACACCATCCTGTGAAATAGTATGTTTCAAGTTAAAGTTGAAGGTAGGTATAATATACTGGCTTAAGGAAGTACGCAGATGTTAGGCCGCCTCTACACAGTACAGGTATTGCACAAAACTGGTTACCAGCTACACATGCAAAGTAGCTATCACAGAATAAAATGCTCTGACCAGCTATAAAATTAGACCCTGAAAACGTGTACTAACTTCATATCTGGTTGCTGTCAAGCTTTAATTTTTGTATGTGCAGCAGCATTTCTCTGCTGCAGCTGGGAGCCCCATCAGCTGGATGTACCTTGCCCAGCCAGGGCTGAAAGTCCTGCAACTGCTAGGGACTCTCAGCCCTAGCACCTGCGGACTCTGTGTCCTGGCAGCACTCTGCAGCTGCTGGGACCCAGCGTCTCACAGCTGCAGATACTGGTCCCCAGAGCGTGCTTCCCAGTGATCCCCCACGCATCCCTGGGGTGGGGGCATCGTCGCTGTGGCAATTTCCCAGTTGCATGGGTTGCCCCCATAACTAGGAGCTGCTCAGCTGAGGGGGCTCCTAGCTGCGAGAGCTTGTTTCTTGCGGGTGCAGGGGGAGCCTGGAATCCCGGAGAGCTCCAGGATCTAGCTCCTCCTGCACCGGCAGTAAGGTACAATAGGATCCAATGTGAGATCCCACTGTCGCATCTCTTGCCATACATATGTGGCATTGCAGGGGACACAATTTCATGAATTGTGCATTAGATCCCATTGCGCCTTTACCTGCATGAGTAGAGGAAGCCTTATAGTTTTGTTTTGTTTTTTAAAAGCACCTCATAGAATTTAGTGTTTAGTTTCAACTTAAAATAAATTGAAACATATGAGAATATGAAATTGATATACAAAACACCTGAACAACTTTGACTCTGCTTCTGCAGGGAAGTTTGTATTTTGGTGTGAATTATGCCCATCTTGAAGGAGAAGAAAGTGAGGCACAAAGGTATGATCACATTTGCTTCAGATAAAATGGTAGCTATTATTGCCCATCACTATAAGACAGTGGTTCTCAACCTATTTAGACTCAAGGCACCCCTCTGTAGACTCAAAGTATCCTTTAAAAATGCCAGCTCTTAGTATTCACTCTTTTTGGACTACAGAAAAATAATAGAGCAATTCTTCTGTTGCAAAGAATTCAGAAAGACTACACCAGCTTTTCAAAACACTGTTTTTAATACTGTGGATTCCTGTTTGGAAACGCTGGTTTTTATCTTGCAAATCATGTTCGAACAGGTAACAATGGTAACGTTGCATGGCACCTGACTAAGGCACCCTGGTTGCCAATCACTGCTTTAGGAAAACAGGCCCCACATGATTTGTCCAAGGTCAAGTACCTAGGCAAAGAAATCAAGATTTATGACTCAGTCTCCTGCTTTTATCCATAGTGCTAGCTATGATTTTCTGTTTTAAACTTCCTTTTGGATCTGCAGTAAACAATTATTTTAAGCACGTCATAATGTGTGTATTTCCACTTTTATCTTGCCAGATACTCTCATATCTATTCTATCGCATCTATTCTTTCTAGCAGTTGAAAGAACATGTTGAAGAAATTGAAATGCATAGCATATTGTTGGTGGATTTCTGAGAGGACACTAGCAAAAGAACTTTTTCCCTCCCTTTTCTCTTTACCTCCTTTCTGATGTCTCCATTTTTAAACTAGGCTGGCAGCTACAATCTTCCTGTCCTGCTCCTTTCCTTGTTCACCAAACAGGGAACCTGTTCAGTGATAATTACAAAAAAGTGTTTTAGTCATGAGCATCACATCGCTAGACTTGGGGACCCTGAAGCTGAACCACTGTTATCTTCTTCACCACTGCTTTGCTGCTTTGATAAACATATTGCAAATTTTTGCCTTGTTGGGGCTTTGGGTAGCATTTTGTGTATCTGGTAAGAATAACCTGCTGTTGATCATTCTGAAAGGCATTTTTCAATTTTACTAGTTGAATAGATTTTATGATGAACCATTAGGTGGTGGGTGTTTAGAGATCAGAGTTACTTAATAAATTCACCCTGTTTTGAATTGCTGTAGCATTTGAAACATACTGTGGGCTGTATTTTCATTTTGGACAATAAAACACCTTCCTGTTTGTTTTCTACAATAAGATATTTTTGAATGTCTGAAAACAGCTGCAAATATATTTACATTCCCAACAGGTTAAGAAGTTTCGGTGAGAAATAATGCCTAATCCTTTTGTGTGTGTTTTGGAAACTGTAATAGTTTCACATCCGGCATATGAGTGAAGCTATGATACTGAGTTCTTACTTCAGTTTAAAAGACACTTTATCTAAAGTTAACACTTCTATTTGGTAATTTTTTAATCTACTGTTGTAAGAAGCAACACCCAGCAGCATTAGAATTGAAAGACTTGGGACTTTTTATCCATTTTGACTGTCTTTCTCATTTGTGTCAAGCCAGTTTGTTTCCCTCTATAGTAGCTTCTCCTACATGCTTGTTTATACAATTGGAGAGAGAGACTTTTTAGTAAGAAAATGTGATTTGTAAAACCACAAAATATACTAGGTGTATTCATGGGTATATGTTATATCTCTAATTGTTCTACTGGGTTTTTAATGGAATCAAATTAGATGGTTGTTATGTAATGAGTAGTAGAAATAGTTCTAGGCTATGAAGTTTCTGTTAGTGCTAACTATAAACTGAAATAATTGTTCATTAATATACAATTTAAGTATGATTATCTAGTAGTGCAACTTTTTCATAAACTCTGTTATCCATTATTTTTTCTCAAGTATTGGAGGCTGTTATACAGAACTTTTAAATATTTAGATTAATACATTCCTATTTAGAAATTGTAAATAATACTTTTGCAGATATTTTGTATGAATCTTAAATTTTTTAAATATTCAATTTTATAGACCATACTGAAAGATACCTTCACTTTTGATTTTTCAAACAAAATTTTCAGTAAATTTGGTTCAAGCTTTAGTTAAGTGTTATTGAGAATGAATTAATTGCAGTTGTGAACCTTTCTTGTTTTTTCTACTGTTAACCTCACAAATCTTGTAATCTTTCCATTTTGTGGCAGTCCTTACCTTATGCAGTTCCCGCAGTCTCCAACAGGCTTTACGAATAAAATCTTTGTTGACTCTTTATTCCACTTCACATTGTATTATAAACGTGTCTCTTTGGGTCAACTCTGTTTTTATATTAATAGTTAATTCTGAAATGCTTTTGAACACCTGAGTTTTTTGTTGTTGTTGTTGCAAAAATGTTAATACCCACTGCTATTAAATGCCATAAGAATATTTTATCTTGAAATTGTCTTTTAATGTGTAATAATTTCTCCTCTTATTAACTAGAGTATTATAAGAGTCGTGTTCCATGACAGGCGGTTGCAGTATACAGAACACCAGCAGTTAGAGGGCTGGAAGTGGAATCGCCCTGGGGACCGACTTCTTGACTTAGGTATACCTGTTACCTTACTATCAATAGGTTAAAACGGGAAGCTTAGTACATTGATCCTAATCGTGTCCACAGTAAGGTTAGTGAAAACATATAAACATATATGCTGCTCTATTTATGTTAGGATATACTAGTCTGATGTGGAGAAGTTTTCACCTGAATTGCACTGTAATCCTTTTCAGTGTAAAACTTAATGTTATCATGTGAAGAATATTATAGAAATGAAACATTAACACTACATAATTATAGAGAGGTAGTTAGCTGTGCTAATCTGAATTTAGGCAGAAGGCAGGGAGGGGTAACACCTTACAGACTAACTTGTTCAGAGACTAGAGCACTTGTTCAGAGAGCTAGTTAAAAGAAGTTAGTCTGTAAAATGCTACTCTGCTCTGCTTTGTGACTACATGCCATATTTTCTGACATAAAACACACAACTTTTCCCCAAAATTGGGGTGTGCGTATTAAGCAAGAAAGCTTTTGTTTCTCACTGCAATAGAAGCAAACTGCTTTG